AAGGAATTGAATTTAAGGTATAAAGAATGAAAAAATGTCCCTACTGAACATATTTACAGGGCTCAATGGGTCAATGGCTAGCCCATAGCAGCTAGTAGAACGAAGAGACATGGATGGAGCACCAAGTGATGGGAAATATGCTCTCAACCACAGTTGAGTGAACCAAAGAGGCCCACTGTCAGTGGGAGATGTACCATTCTTCAATTGAAATTGAAGAGAAACCATGCCTCTATAAAGGGCAGCCAAAAAGAAGGAACACAAATTTAAAGGCCTACCACGCACCAATTCATGCGCTATGGGTAAGTAACTCATGGAAGGCTTCATACTTGGCACGCAAAGAATATATTTATATAGCCAAATCTGAAGAAAGGCCACACGCTCAGCATGGAAGGTTCAGCGCTTGAGTGATTATAATAGCCTTGCAGGCTTGAGTAGGACTCAGTGAGTTTCTTGTCAAATTTCGGGGCTACACCGGAAAACAAAATACCAGGAAAAATGGTGTCGCCCAAAGGTGAAAGATTTACTAGGGCCCCAACATCCCTTAAAGTAATAGACACGGGACCAAGAGGGAAAACAAAAGTATTATATTCAGAAGACCAAAAACTTAAAGCAATAGGAAAAAGCACTAGGTCAAAAATTGGGGGTTGAAGAGCGATTTCTAATAAATCAGAAATCCTAGCACGATCAAAAATCGCCTTGGTAGGACCATGGTCCACAAGGCGAGCATGCCATCTAAGAAAAATAATATCAGATTTAGGCCAAGTGCAAATACCTTTTTCGCGAATTGACCTCAGCGGCAAAGAGTTCAGGAACGGAGGGCCTTGAGTGCAAGGGAACAGCTGGCCCACCGCCACTTGTTCGACGGCTTCGGCGTTAATGAATGATGGACCCAGATAGAATTCATTGAGTTCGGCATTGGCTGGTGCAAGGAAATTCGGATTTACATATGGCCGAATAAGGATTTGCTGGAAATCTTCGAAGTTAAAAGAGTCATCAGATTGGGTTTGTGGAGCCGCCATTGGGAACGAAATACAGTTTTGTTAAAGTTTGCTTGAGAAACACAGCAGAGAAGCAAGAAGATGAACAGTAATATTGCGAGAAAGAAACGCGAAATAATGAGGCGTGATTTAATGATGCGATGAAATGGCGTATCTTTGGGGTTTATAAGGGTTTGTAACGTCGTACCTTTTCAGGCTATGGAAGGAAATAATGATTGAAATTCTTGGGAATTTCAAATATTGCTAGAAAACACAAAATAAATATGGCAAAGATTAATAATTAGTATTAATTCTGCCATATTGGGGGGTAATTGTTGACATACTAAAAGTGCAGCTCAAATCGAATAGCCCAAGGAATGAAGCCCAATTGAGGAATTCCCAAATCAAATAGCCCAAAGAATGAAACCCAATTGGGCAATTCAGGATAAAAGTCCAAACATGGTTATTAATGAATGCAGTGGAAGCCCACGAACACAGTAACATCATCGCCCAAGCTTGCAAGACGCCCAAGATCTAAGCGAATGGAGTGCCTTACAGTCGCCCAGAGCGATGACCCTGTTCTCGTCCATACCTTCGAATCGCCCAAGATCTTAGCAAAACATAAAATATTATGGTTATCCAAAAATACAGTTATGGAAGTAGTTATTGAGTAGTCTTATCACATTCCACGATTCAAGGAACCCAGTTGAAGGCGGTTGAACGACAAAGAGTAGTGATAGCAGTTAGAGACGGCAGTTCCACGACAAATTATCCACCATAAAGAAAGTGGGTAATTATAAAGCAATCAAGCAATTTCCAAACGGTTTGTCACGAAAAAATCATCAAGGGAATATAAAAGGAAGAGAAGACATAGAGAAAAGGACCCCGAATCAAACACTCTCAAACAGAGAATGTGTAATTTCAATTTCTTAGTTTAAATTTAAACATTTCTTTCAGTACTCATGTGCTTGCGCCCCTTGGAGGCATTCTGTTTAGTTCCAATTGTAAATCATCGCCAATAAAACACCCCTTTTTGGGACTTTGTTTCAAGAGGTTTGTTCCTTACACAATCGTCTGATCCCTTTTTAATTGTTAGCGACTACCTGCACGAAACAACTTCACTATCAGTCATTTCCTTTAATTTAAATGTTTTTTGCATCTAATTTGAAGGTTGGTGATTTCGATAATGGTCAGTTTGGCAGAATATTAATTTTGTTGCTCAACTAATAACATTGACTCTATGGAGCCTTTTTAAATTATAAGTGGACAACTCATGTTCCCTCCATTCTTTATAATTAATAAATCTTTCATTGACATAAAAAGTTTGTTAAAATTGTACGCCCCTGTTTAAGCCCTATTTTTGGGTCAAAATATATTTTGAAATAATATTTTATTAGAGAATGTATGGTTAAAAAATAAAAAAAAAATTTAATTTACGTGTAAAATTTGTTTACAGGAGAATGCGTGGTTGGAAATGAGTTCTGAAAAAATGGGAGCCAAACATAGACTAATATAAACATCATATTTGTAATAATCTGCATTTGTGATTAATAAAAAGAATCTCGTTTGTTGTGAGATCTCAATCTTTACTGCATTTGTGATTAATAAAAAGAATCTCGTTTGTTGTGAGATCTCAATCTTTAATCCATTTTATAATGTTTTGGTTAAGTGGATGAACATTTCAATAAAGAAGATAAATTTCACATGTTCACATGTTTAGTTTCCAAAAAATTGGTTGGATAAGTCATGAAATACAAAGTTAGGAGGCTGCTTAGTGGGTTCATTTGGTCTTAGATATTTTATGATTTTTTTGATAGAAGATTTTGGAGGGAGCGAGTGCTTGGAATTTGTTTGGTATTTTTCATTTTTTATTTTTTAATCCGAATTTGGAATGCCAAATAGTATTTGAAAACTTTCGGGGATTAAATTTTTAGCTGAAAAATATTTTCAAGTATCATGTATTTTCAAATTAAGAAGTAGGCGTGAAGGGACTGGCAAAGGGTGCATATGGAAAGTCAATGATTGGTTATTCAAGAAAACAAAATCTAAACTTGAAATCGTTTGGACATGGTTAGTTTAGCAGAAATGATAAAGAGTTGAGATTTATGTTTACCACAAAAATAACCACAGAAATATTGCTCTAGACGCTTCTTTCTATGGATAATGATGTCAATAGAATGGCAACAAATCTAAACTCGAAGTAATTAGGACGGTCAGTTTGGTACATATATTGTTGAAAAGATGAGATTATGTCTACCACAAAAGTAACCACGAGAATATTGCTCTATAGATGCTTCTTTCTATCGACAATGATGTTTGGCAACAAAAACTAAACTTGAAGTCATTTGGACATGGTCGATCTCACACAAATGTTGAAAAGTTGATATTTATATCTACGACGAAAATGACCGTGAAAATATTGCTCTAGAAGCTTCTTTCTTGGATAACGATGACAAAGTATGCATCAATACTTGTTTTTGCTTACATTGATCGACAGTGGGTATTCAGACGAAACACACACATACATTCATACACAATACTTGGACTATTGCCATGCTTATATGCCATTTGGTATAATTTTAAGGTCTTGATAATTCTCTTTTGAGTCCGAAGGGGAGGGGGTTTTCTTCAGGGCTCGGGAGATGGAATAGAGAGGGCCCTACAAGTTTTGAATTCGCCGCTAGGGAATTCACACGAAAGAGAATGAGGAATTCTCAACGAAAAAAGTGCTCTCTGAATCGAACGTGAAAGTCGTTTTCAGAGCTTGACACCAAAATGTAGTATAGAGCCAAAATTTGTGATTCTCTTGTAACACCATCTTCAACTTTTCCACACTAAAAAGGAAGTGTTCCTCAATATTCTAAGACACTTTGCTCCGCCCAGCACAGATATATATAAGGTGGATGATGAAGTATTAGCTCATGAACTCTTATAAAATTTTGGCGCAAACGGCAGTTTATTTTACTTCTAGCTCATTTTGGACCCCTTTTTGGGACTTGTTCATGCCTACATTTATATCCTAACTCTCTTAACACCTCAAAGCATACCATAAACATTTAGGTATTTTAGATATCAATTGAAAAACACCATAATCAATCATCTTGGTAAGAAATTAAGAAAAGGTTCAAAGAATTATTGAAAATCCAAGTTTGAAGATTTTCGAGTTTATTGGGTTTCACGATAAAGATTGAAGAGATTTATTCCATCTTTATGTTCCTAGAATAAATTGGATATCTATGTCAAATTTTTCTTGTTTTTATTCATTCACCATGTTTCTAGGCTAACTTATATGTTAGAAAGAACAATATAGCTAATGGAAATCCACTCATTTTTAAGTCATTATTTTAAGATTTTCTATTAGATATTTTGCTAAATTGACATGGTTGACTTTTTTTTTTTTTTTTTTTAGCTAACGAGAATTAAATTGCATGATATATGTTACATGTTAAATCGAGAGATCACGTTTTAGAACATTCAGTCTTACTTTTTATTAATTTGTTGCTAAATTGAAATATTTTCGCTTTATTATACGGTTGTCCTAAGCTCTTATGCATCATTTTATAAACTATTAGTCGAGAAGAGGAAAATTTGATATGTAAATTAGTGAATACAAGACTCCTAACTATCTTTAATTGATTTATACCTCAAAACATGATATCTCCTTCATTATTAATGTGTATTCTATTTAGATAGAAAAATTCAAATTAAAAATCAAATTTTCTATCATAGTTAATAGGACGATATTGTACTCATCATTTCATTAATGGAAAAAGATGGAGTTACAGGGAACTAGTTCACAGGCCCCCGCCAAATGAGAGAGGAGGTGAAGGCGGGCCCTACCTTTTTTTGTTTTGTTTTTTTTTTTTTTTGTTTTTAATCGCTGTGCGACCCGAGCCCCAACATGGAGCTCGATTCTTCATTAATTGTTGCAGGATAACGTCGAATCATTGAAAGCAAATCAGATGGAAGTATTACATACGCAGTTTTTTGCCACTTCAAACTTCAGGCAGTGTTAACAGAATGTAATTGAATTTTCTGTCAATATGAATTTTCTTCTTAGGCAACTATACAAACAATTCCTCTGTCAAACACGGAGAGAGAGAAACAAGGTCAAGTGAAATCAGGAGTATGACACTTCCAATAAAGAGAAATCAGGAGTACAACACATTCAACGAAATGAAATAAAAATCTGGAGAGTTCAACATACAGCAAAATAAAGGGTTCAAACGAGTGCAAAATGACTAGGAAGAGGTGATATGTCTCCATTTATCTATACTTCACTTATTCAAGATCCTTGGCATTGTTATTCCTCGAATTATCTTCCTGCAAACATGGTTGAGTGAAACATATCAAACAATGCTGAAAAGTTGTCGTTCTTCATGTATATACACGCATGATTCATATGTGAAGTTTCAAGGTCACAAACTAAGAATAATATAAGTTTGTTCATCTAATTCTTCTCTAAGTGTCTGATTTAATTTGTATCATCCAGACTATTAGATCAGACAAATTAAAGCTGTTGTTGTATTGCCATATATGAAGAATTTATTAAATCTGGAAATTCATATGAAAATTTTGCTCCTCAAACTTATGGCAGATAGAAATGCCAAGTCAACAGAGAAAAATGTATTACCTTTGAAGTTAGAATTTTGAGTTTGTACAAACGTCGGATATCATTGACCCTCATCAGGAGGAAAAATGGAAAGCTTAAATTCCCTGCCTTTATTGGTTTGCTGGCCTTGCATCGCTTTTTTCAGCTTCTGAATTTCCATGGCAGAAGCAGCTGCTGATTTGTTGGTACGGTGCAGATCAATTATCTGGAGGCTTGAAACATCTGCAAGGCCCACTGGAACTTCTCCGAGCTTACTGCAGTGTCTAAGATAAAGAGACTTGAGTCTTGGGAAGTGACGAGCAGAAGCCACCCAAGTAACTAAATTTGTCCTTCCCATTTGCAAGACTTTGAGAACACGAAAACCTCCATCCTCTGCCTGCCACCTCTCTCCATCGAATGCATAGTCTCTCAACTTCAGGATCTCAAGGCTATCCAACATTCCAAGTGTAGACATGTGCTTCCAATCAAGACGGGTGTTTTCAAGAGTGAGCTTATTTAGCTTGGGTGGAAATTGGTACTTTTGGGGAAACCTAGCTATTTTTCCTTCAGATGGCGGCTTAGGATGTACGTCATTCAATAGCTTCAGATTTTCAAGATAATCCAGTTTTCCCACAATGTCAAATGAGTTCAAAAGATTAGCTAGTGGGCCACGAATACCCAATTTCTTTAGGTTAGGAATCCTTGCAAAGATGTCTTGTGTACAACTTTGAGGAGATAGTGTAGAAAGTGTTCTTACATTTCCATTTATCAGAGAACCTTCTGCATTTGTACTTTTATTAGCAAGAAGAGGGACCGGCAGAGATGAGGATGTATTGCTATTTGTTTTTAGATGCCTCAGTCTCATCATCTTCCATATATCTGCTTTGATTTCTAGAGTTCGTGATGACGTTTGAACTATAACAGTTTGCAGGTTCCAAAGTCTGGAAAAGGTTTCAGGAAGAATCTTGAAATGACACGAGAGAACGAGATACCTCAAATGAATCAGTTCAGTTAGGTCATTAGGAAAACGAGGGAAATAAATGGCTTTACCATCTAACACCCTGAGCAATTCAAAGTTTCCAGAGATGGAAGAAATATCAGCAGGAGGCAGGTCAAAATCATCAGAGGAGAAACACAAGAAAGACCGAACATTGGGACCAATTGGTTTTGAAGAGAGATAGCTATAAACACAAGAATGAATACAAAGACGACGGTGCTTTTGCCACTCATGGTCAGACGGTGAATATTTACTTGGATCAAACTGTTTAATTTCGTGGAAAAAATTTTCTTCGGCGGCTTGCATCCTGCAAAACACATGTAGCATGTCATGGACATGACATGTTTTTATTTTTCCATTCAATCTCCTTTCTCCAACCATGACCAAATTCCTGTTGACAAGATCCTCTAAATACTCCTCTGCTCTACCCTCCAAACTTATTCCCTCAATTTCCTGTATGAACCCTTCCGCGATCCATAGACGAACAAGTTTCCAAACTGGGATTTGGAAGTCTTCTGGAAACATCCCAAAATAGAGGAAACAGGCTTTCAAGTGATAAGGCAAGTGATTGAAACTCATTTCTATAAAATTGGCCATGGTTTTCTCCTGGTCAGAAACTATATACGCATCCACACTTCTAGCAACATTTTTCCACCAATGAATTTCATTATTATTATCTCGTAGAATTCCTCCAATCACCACTATCGCGAGCGGTAATCCTTTACATTCTTTGGCAATATGCTTTCCGTCCCCTTCCAACTCCTCGGGGCATTCCTTCGAGTGGAGTGCCTTCCATTTGAGTAGCTCCCAGCTCTCTTTATCATCTAGAAAACGCAAATCATGGGGCTCCAAGTTGCGTTTAGCATGCCTAGCCACTGTCTTCATACGAGTGGTTAGTAAAATTCTACTCCCGTTCTTCTTGTCCGGAAAAGCAATTTTGAGACCATCCCAGGCCTCATTAGACCACACATCATCCATGAAAATTATATACTTCTCTTTCTCCAAAACATGACGAATTTTTCCAGCTAATTCCTCATCATCCATCTTATACATGTCATCACTCGGAGGATCAAAATGTCTTAGAATATTGAGGAACACATCCTTTCTACTATATTCTTGAGAAACGAAAACCCACACACGATTGTAGAATTCATATTTTATGGTAGAATCACGAAACATCATTTTAGCCAGGGTTGTCTTACCAAGACCAGGCATACCAACAATTGATATAACTTCAAGTTCCTCCGAACCTTCAGTGAGAAGTTTGATTACTTTTTTCGCCTCATCTTGAAAGCCCACCACGTTGTCTTCCTCTACAATGGGAGCCTATATTACAGTGAAAACGGGTCATATTTTGATGACTATAACGAATTGTATATTTGTCCATAATCTATATTTTAATATATAGACATGTCAAAATCCATTAATATCATTAATTGGTGAAAATTATTTGAGAGTAGACTTTTAGAAAGCTCTGTGAAACACTCCTTTCGCTTAGTAACGATAAGGGGAATAAAAAATTTAAATCATATTATTAAAAACTAGCATAAAATGAATCAATACTTTAAACAGCAAAGGAGAATTAAATTCGGTGAACTAAATTTTTGTTGTATATATGCGTAGTATTCTGCTTCTTGTGAACAAAAATACTCATGTAATATCAAGAAATGTACATACAAGTATTATTATCCAAGTTGTTATTCTTAACGCCTTAATCTAAATGATTAAAAAGACTAGTAAAACATTTTTCTAGTATGAAACCAAAAAAAAAAAAAAGGGGGAGGTAAATGCAATCTAAAGCTTCGATATTGCAAATTTAATTAGAGTAATAATGGCGTAAGTGTTTTACCTCTCTCTTTTTAGGGATTCCGGCAAATCCCTCCCCTTCTTGCTGCAGGGCCTTAAGTATAAACTCCTTCTTGTCGTCGTGTATCTTTTTCACCTCAGCGCTGATGGTCTCAATATCTCTCCCCACATTTCGACGAGCTTTGGTGTGACCCAATTTTTTTATAGTCTTCTCAATGCTACCCTGGGCCTTGCGTGCAGCTGACTCAGAAACAAATCTGTCTATAATATCTTCCGCCTCATATACAACGTCTCTGATTTGGTTCATTGTAGTTTTTAAGAAATCATTCTTGTTACGGATTTTTGCAGCATCCTTGAGTAAGGCTTTGAACAAATCAATATTTTTGTACAGAGAATTCACCTGTTCCTTCACGTCAAGAATCAGATGAGCATTGTATAAAAGCAGATCTTTCAGATTTTGCAGCAGAAATTCTACAGAAGCTTCCGCCATATTGTGTTTTTTCTTTTTTCTTTCTTTGCAAGGTGGAAAAGTTGAAGATGGTGCTACAAGAAAATCACAGACTGCAGGCTCAGCTACACCAGGTGGTGTGAAGATGTGAAAGTTTCAATATGTGGAATTGCTTTGGGAAACCTTGGTAGGGCTTATTTGTGGGGGCCACGTTGAATGGATAGCCTGCAATTCCCAGACAAACACGACATGATTGACTGTTGGAGAGTTGTGACAGGTACCCAAATCTAATTTCCCAGTTCACCCTTAAAATAAATGGTGGGAAGTTATTTAAAAGTTAAGGGGGTGTTCTCTTTGTGTTTCAGTTTTGTGTTTTGAGTTTTGAATTCATTTTGAGTTTTGTATTTTGAGTTTTTGTTTTGAAATTCTTGAAAATGCGTTCTTTTTGTTAGTTTCTACTCGACAATATAATGTAAAGATTTTAGCTTCTTCTTTTTTTATTTTTTTTGGGTCCATTTTTAATATAGTACTTTCTATTCTTTAAACTAAAATTATCTAATGTCTTATTGCTTCACTTGTTGGGCATGTTCAAATGTTAGAGGCTGTTCTTTTCGTGTTTCAATTTTATAGTTTTGAATTTTGAATTCATTTTGGATTTTCTGTTTTGAGTGTCTGTTTTGAAATTACTGAAAATGTATTTTTTTGCCATTTTGGAACCATTTCTCGTGTTTTCAATTTTTTCAAGTTTTACACTGAAAACGCCCAAAACGACAAAAAAGTCGTTTTGTGTTTTCTTCACAAATTTTTTTCGTTTTCGAAAACGTTTTCGAAAATTCGTTTTCGAAAACGGGAAAGAGAACACGTTTTCACCGTTTTGAAAAATCGAAAACAGAAAACGACCCGAAAACGGTAAAGAGAACAGGGCCTAAGTGCTTGTTTGATAAGAAATTTGATAATGATTTTTTGATCATTAAATATAAAAGTGGATTTTACTTGTGAGAGAAAAGTTTAAAAATGATGGTTGAAATAGTGAAATAATGATCAAAAATGACGATTAAAATAGTGAAATAACGATTAAAAAATAGCCAGATTATTTTTGGAAATTAGTTTCGAAAAATGAGGATGTTTTTGACCTTTTGAATTTCAACGTGTTTTGCAACAATTAAAAGGCTGGCACAGTTCTGTCCACTTGTGATTTTTTAACAATTAATTTACTGTTTAAAAAATAAAAGCTGGCAAAAAGTTGGAATAATGGAAAACACAAATACAGCAAAAAAAATTAGAGAAAATTGTAGCAGTGGTCCCAATTTTTCTCATTTTTTGCAGACTTTAGCCAACCTTCATTTTGTGTCAGAAAAATTCCTAACCTTTCATAAATATGCAACTAAAGTCCGTTTGATCGGCAACTATCCAAAACATCGTCAGTTAATTGGAAAATTTAAGGAATCAACATCCAATAAAATCATCAAAAATATCATCCAAAAAAGTATCAACATCCAATAAAATTGTCGCGATAACAGATAATTGAAGAAATTTTCCTTGTCAACTGACGGTATTTTAGACTGTTTTCTTCCAAATAAAACTCGTGTGTATATTTATGAAAGGTTAGAAACTTTCGCTGATATAAAATAAAAATTAGAGTAAAACCTACAAAAAAATTGAAAAGGTTAGGAACCTTTGCTGCACTTTTCCCAAAAAATTATAGCAAAAGACATATAAGAGTGTAATAGTTTAATGATATATGTCTCATTGGCTCACATTCTTCTTAAATTTTTCAATCTCATCTTCATTTTTTGTAGACCGTAGACCCCACTTCTGAAATTATTAATTTTTGTCTGACACCAGAGTTGTCATATTTTTTTTTTTTTTTGATAACCCAGGTGTCCCAGCTTAGCCGGACTAAATTCTGGACCTCTAGCCCCCGGTCCCTCAGTGACTAGTGGAGGTAAATCGCAGGTTGTGCCCTTGTTGGTTCCCAGGTTCCCACATGGCTTTTACTCCTTCCCCAAAGGAACCCTCCTCCATGGTTATTACATCACCAAGCTGCTCCAACCCTTCCTCTGGTTATTACATCACTTGGCTGCTCCAACCAGAAATCGAACTCCCCACACTTGGTTCCAGAGCCCCCCAATGTGATTGTTCCGTCAACTTGGATGTGCCCTGGGGGGCAAGTTGTTGTCACATTTTGACTATTCAATGAAGTGTTCCACATATAAAATCCATCAATTCACATTTATGCCCTTGACATTATGGTTATAAATTTCACGTAAAATAGCCCTGTTTGAACCTCATTCTCTCATAAATTCTTTTTTTTTTTCAAAATTTTTTTAATAAAATAATATTACACACAAATTCAAAAAAATTTCATTAATATTTAATCACATATTCTTCATCAATCACTATATAAAAATATATTTTTTTGTAAATTTTTAATTACAAAGTTGAGCCCTGCTTGACGTCCAGGGCGACATGGGCTCAGTACGTGTATTTTTATCCCACAAAGTTAGGGTAAAATAGTCCTATATGCCTTAACGGCATTATCAATATTAACTTATTCTAACAGTTGCACTGCTTCATTCTATATTTTTAAATATGCCTACTACCGGAAAAAAATAAGATAAGATTTGATAAAAAAAAAAAAAAGAATTTAAAATGAGTTTCGGACTAGGCCAAATATTAAAAAGGAAAAAACATAAGCAGCATAAAATAAGTCATCCTTACTTTTTGCTCAAGAACTACGTACAAGTTCATCGGGACTTTTTATACATTACCTCGAAGATTTTATTTATATTTATTCGTTCATTTCGAAGGAATCTAAGCTTTTATTCATTTATTATTCATACATTTTTTAGGACTTACAGCTTACAATCTATAGAAAGATATAACAAATATAAACTTTTGATCTCTTTGTCTAATTTACGTGGTTGTGGACAACAATTGCATTATTTTTCTCTCTGCTGCATTATTGCTTTATTTTCATGGTTTTCTTCAATTTTGGAATACTGTAATCTCTTTACTTATATCACCAACAGGAAAATTGCAATGCTGAAAACATGATACATGAAAATAGCTTGCAGCTTAAAATTCAATCCAAGGATATTTCATTACGGATTAATCAAGACGGATAGGGTCGGGGGAACCCCCGCCCCCCCATTGGCTGGGGCCTATCACCTCCTTGTCCATCAAACACATCCCATTCATTACTTAGCCCCGACCTTTCGTTTGAGCTCCATTAAAATGAGATTTGGGGGGAAACATGTCTGAAATAGTGATTTATTGAATAATGTGCGATTATAAAATAAGAAAAAATTTTGAATTTACAGTAATATTATTTTATAGAAGAATGTGGGGTTGAAAATAAATTTTAGAAAAATGTATTTAAAAAGAGAGAGAGAGAGAGAGAGAGAGAAACAAAGGAAATGTAAATAACCCACCTTGTAAGAGGTGCTTCTTTAATTTGTCTCCTCCCTTTAAAAGAATTAATGATTGCAATCCCTCCAGAAGTCTTAGCCCCCCGTTTGAGCCCCATTACTTGAAAATTGGGGAAATAGTATTTTTTAGAAAAATAAGTGGTTGAAAAAGAAGGAAAATTTTTCGATTTACGTGTAATATTATTTTATGAAAGATTGTGTGGTTGAAAATAGGAAACAGAAAAATGAAATGTAATTTAATTTAATTTAATGGGGATCAAACGGGGGCTTAATCACAAATTCAAAATATTGTAACTAATAAATCTGTTAAACAAAGCATATTTTATTGTTCAATATTAAGTAAAGATTACGTGCAAAATGATTGTATAAAGCGTAAAAACCTTAAAATTGAAAACACCGTAAAATACAAAACTATCAAGAAATTAAATAACAACTACACCTAACCCGTCCCTATCAGANGTGGAATTGCTTTGGGAAACCTTGGTAGGGCTTATTTGTGGGGGCCACGTTGAATGGATAGCCTGCAATTCCCAGACAAACACCACATGATTGACTGTTGGAGAGTTGTGACAGGTACCCAAATCTAATTTCCCAGTTCACCCTTAAAATAAATGGTGGGAAGTTATTTAAAAGTTAAGTGCTTGTTTGATAAGAAATTTGATAATGATTTTTTGATCGTTAAATATAAAAGTGGATTTTACTTGTGAGAGAAAAGTTTAAAAATGATGGTTGAAATAGTGAAATAATGATCAGAAATGACGATTAAAATAGTGAAATAACGATTAAAAAATAGCCAGATTATTTTTGGAAATTAGTTTCGAAAAATGAGGATGTTTTTGACCTTTTGAATTTCAACGTGTTTTGCAACAATTAAAAGGCTGGCACAGTTCTGTCCACTTGTGATTTTTTAACAATTAATTTACTGTTTAAAAAATAAAAGCTGGCAAAAAGTTGGAATAATGGAAAACACAAATACAGCAAAAAAAATTAGAGAAAATTGTAGCAGTGGTCCCAATTTTTCTCATTTTTTGCAGACTTTACCCAACCTTCATTTTGTGTCAGAAAAATTTCTAACCTTTCATAAATATGCAACTAAAGTCCGTTTGATCGGCAACTATCCAAAACATCGTCAGTTAATTGGAAAATTTAAGGAATCAACATCCAATAAAATCATCAAAAATATCATCCAAAAAGGTATCAACTTCCAATAAAATTGTCGCGATAACAGATAATTTAAGAAATTTTCCTTGTCAACTGATGGTATTTTAGACGGTTTTCTTCCAAATGAAACTCGTGTGTATATTTATGAAAGGTTAGAAACTTTCGCTGATATAAAATAAAAATTAGAGTAAAACCTACAAAAAATTGAAAAGGTTATGAACCTTTGCTGCACTTTTCCCAAAAAATTATAGCAAAAGACATATAAGAGTGTAATAGTTTAATGATATATGTCTCATTGGCTCACATTCTTCTTAAATTTTTCAATCTCATCTTCATTTTTTGTAGACCGTAGACCCCACTTTTGAAATTATTAATTTTTGTCTGACACCAGAGTTGTCACATTTTGACTATTCAATGAAGTGTTCCACATATAAAATCCATCAATTCACATTTATACCCTTGACATTATGGTTATAAATTTCACGTAAAATAGCCCTGTTTGAACCTCATTCTTTCATAAATTTTTTTTTTTTCAAAATTTTTTTAATAAAATAATATTACACACAAATTCAAAAAAATTTCATTAATA